CTATATATGGGCATACAAACAGTTTTTTTGTCAAGAAATTTTGATAATATGGTGAGAGATTAAAGGAGCATATGCATATGCATACTTTAGTGAAATTGTGAAACTAAAACAAAATGCAAAGCCTTCAAAAATATATTAATGATCTTAGATTTTTTTTTAGTATGCTTATTGCATGTAAAGGTGGTTGGCTGATCAGTTGTGGCTTCGATTCCCAACCTTGGGGTCATGAAGTGGTTCGAAACTCTCGTAGTGCAGGTCGGTTGTTCATTAGTGCAACACTGTGTTCATGTAAGCGCAAGATTAATATGTTATTTTGATTTATTTTTGTAATTTATATTGAACTTTTTATTTTTCATTTGTATAATTTTGTTTGTATTGTATTTATGTGCACGGCCCCAGGGAAGGACAACCCTGTGTTGATCTTGGCCTATGTGGTTAAATAAAGTTTGGCAAGGCGCTTTGTCTACGTTTGCCTCTATCAAGGAGTATAAATGGGAAACTGGTAGGATGTTGTAGCATTGATTGTACTAGTTTTGTGTGCTGAGTACATGCACATGACTAGGTATACTCCCCAGGGAGCAGAGAAGTTTGCACTTTGTGCTGGTTTGCCGTTGTATGTTATCCAGTAACTAGGGATAATAACGCTCAATTTGGAATTGGCGCTATATAAATATTTGGTAATATTATTATTTTTATTAAATTATTATAAATATTATTAAATGGGCCATACCCACCTCAGTGTCACCATAGTTTACAGGAGGTGAATGAAAGAGGGGAGGGAGGGGTACTGAAGAAGAAAATGTTGATAACTGTGAACTATCCCTAAGGCAAGTTTAAAAAAGTCTTGCATATTAGAATTGTGCATCTATTTATTGGTAAAGAAAAAACATTAAATATTGCATTTTTTGTAAATTCCAAGTCATTTAATTCAAGACAAACATATGTCGCCACATAATACTCTCTGACCTATTGTATAGTGTTGTTCTCTTATTAAAGTAGTAAACCCACTTTACCATCATGACTAGGCTTTGTGTGTTCTCATTAGATGTTTTATTTTAAAATTGATTTTTAAGTGAACGCAACAGAGCGAAGTACAATTCAAACTAACTCATGCAAATATAATATTGGTTGTACATATGCCTTAGCAGATACATATCCTAGCTACATGCTACCATAGTAACCAAACTAAACAAATACATGTGTAGAATTGAAAAGTAAAAGAGTCTAGATGTATTTACATTGAGAAATATATACACACTATTCAATACATTCAAGTTTATGAAATTTAAATGGTATAGTATGTGCTTCTATGGTACAGATGTATTCTTCTTAATACGGGTCTTGTGAATTATTTTTCATAGGATGAAATTCAGAGGATAATAATAATATTATAACATATTGATAAAGCTATTTTAATAATGAATCGCCATACTATAATTCAACCTACTATTTAGGCAAGACTCTTTTAATACCAATTAGCGTACCCGCTATCATGAAAAAATGGAAACTTAATAAAAATAAAAGTTTTTCATTATTTTTATTATGCCGCACTCTGCCTTGAAATTTCCAAAAAATATGATGTGTATATTTCTTCCTAATTATATAAATTTAAAGCATTTAACCATCCCTTTATGACACAGCTTACATTCACCAATAAAATTTTATTTTCCTTTTCTCCACCATCTGGATACTTTTGGTAAAACTACTTGCTAAATAAGAAAACATTTTGTTTTAATTTTTTTTCCACACTCTCTTCTGACAATCTTAAGAAAAATAAGTTCGCAATACAAGGTATAAATAAAATTATTTTCACCAATTTACAGACATACTACAAAAATCCTTAAATTGACTGTAATCAATTTAAGGATTAGTGAAATGTCTGTAAATCAGTGAAAACCATTTTTTTTTTGTTCTTGGTGGAAGCTAATGATTTATTTGTTTCTTTTAAATGAGCTATTCAAAGTTTTATTTCAATTTTTGAGGTATTTTCCTGTCTTTTGACTGATAGTGCATCTTTAAGAGTTTTGAAGGACAGAAGAAACAATTTTTATTTGGTGCTGGACGCAGGGTTTCCGGAACGCCGCCCCCAGCGGCGTGTGCGAAGCACAACTCAGAGCCAGAAGTGGTACGTGAAATTTCAATATGGTTTTGTAGTCAGATTTGCGAGAAAACCATTTCTCGCAAAAGGAAATGGTGCTACCCTTAATTCGTATTAAGGGAATTTACGCCCACAAACCTTGTAGTTATTAATATATTGGTTATAATAGAAAATTTTTATTTTTCGGTGACATCACACTCACGCTATAGTTAGCATGCATACGTCATAAGCTAGATTATGTCACCATTTCCTGGTAATAAGGCAAACTTTCCCGACATGCTTTTCTCATGGGTAAACAAACACCACTGCTTTGCACATAGATGCCTTTCCTAGCTATGCCTACCAAGGCCGCATTGTTAGCATTGTATAATACTTAAACAAGGTACGTCTGCAACTGAATTATTCTAACTAGTTATTTTTTTTTCTTATTTTAATTTATTTATTTCAAAAGTGTACTTTCTATCACATATAATTGCACTGTCTACCTAGGCCCAGGTAGTCTTATTATGCCTCATTGTCCCCCACTACATCAGTAGACTAGGCCCCCCCCCCACGCTACAGTACAGACGTTTGCTAGGCAATAGAACGTGATTGCACCTTCCTTCCCAGGTGTTCATGTATTATTTGCATGTTGTTAGCTACCCAGTTGCGTGTATTCCTTTGTGGAAATGAGTACCGCGGCGTACTCATTTTCACAAAGCATTTGCATCCCCTCTTGGAAAAAGGGAACTTGGAAATAATTGTCTCCATATCTTCGCTAATTAATCACCATAATTTAGCTTACACTTATAATGCATGGAGGGAGCACTTAAAATGTACAATAATCATTTCACTACCCGACAAACCCCGAACTTCTATTCATGCATTACATATAGTTTCATCTTACTGTACTCCAACATCACTGGCGCATGGTATTACAACCAACTGACTGCAGACCATTTCCGGTCACACATTACTCTCCATAACGCAGCACCCTCTAGTTCCGTCACCCCTGGATAATGTTTAAAAATAGTAATAAAAGTGTTTAATGTGTTTAGTAAATTGATGTTAATGTAATCCTGAAAAGCATTTAGTTTTCTGTTTAATTATTTATGGGTAATTTTATTAGAAGATCTATGCAGTTTTCCTTTACACATTGTTATCATCAGCTAATTAATTTATAATCATTCACGGTATGTTCCAATCTATCCTAATTCCATCTCATTGTCCCTGATGATCCATTCACTTGACTTTTTTCCAACCTTCCCATTCTTATTGTCCTCATGATTTTTTGTTCCTTTCTCATTTTCATATATCTCCAACAGCAGGTTTTTAATGGTTTTATGGATGGGTATCTCATTTTTGTATCAATTGGTTGCTTGTGAAGTAATAGTACACTTTACTTTGCAACATGAGAGAGCAGCTTAGCTCAGTCGGCTAATCTGGTGGTAGCCGCTGTGTGTGCGCTGAACCGTGGAGATCTCTAGATCCCCGGTTCAATTCCCATCGCTGCCTCTCCTTGTGTTTCAGCTAGAGGGCTGAAATACAAGTTACAATAGCGCACCGTCTTTCGGATGAGACGTTTAAGCCGTTGGTCCCATGTGCATTATGGCCCGTGTGCACGTTAAAGAACGCAGTACACTCATCGGAAAAGAGTAGGGGATTGTCTCCCGGTGTACTGCCCAATCACCACCAGAAGGGCCCCACTGGAAATAAGTCTTCTTCTAGACTTTTGTGGGCTATCCTTGGTGTTTACACCGAATAAATCCAATCCAATCCAATCCAACATAAATAATATTCCACGGTACAGTAGCCCTAAAATATGCAATACATTCAGTTTAAGTGTTACTGTACAGTGCAGTAATTTCTAAATTGTTGGATGCTTAAACTGCACAGGCAATGACACATCTATATATAGATATATATGTCGGTAGCTATGTAGATTAGTGCATAGGCTCAATCAGAGTTCCCATCTCACACTTACATCTGGACACGCAGTTGCGATTATCTCATTCATCTCAAACTAATTTCATTGAAAACAGGATCGAGTTTCTTTTCTCTTTCGTTCGTCCCCAAGTGGCTTCACAATCAATAGCACATCGACATTTCACACCATATTAGTCAACACACATCATACAGATCATCTCCGATTTAGACACAATTCTGCTCAAACGACAACAACACCTTAAAATATTCAGCATTGAACTCATGTTTCCGCCTCTGGGAAGAGGTTATTATGGTGGTTTTTCTAGATTAATTTGCTACCAACTTTATGTGGATGCATCCAAGAATGATTGCACAATGCTTTCTAAGAGTCTTTGTTGTCCTAGTGTCTAATAGCAAGTCATAAATCTGATGGCTAGTGTCCTTTTTTGCAATGCATTCAACACAGTTGATTTTTTTCCTCTTTAGGCAACTAAAATGAAAGGTTTTATGGATAATGTATGTGAATGGTAATAATAGTTCAGATGTGTATAAGAGACAGCCTTGTAGTTATTAATATATTGGTTATAATAGAAAATATTCATTTTTTGGTGACGTTACACTCACATTAGTTAGCATGCATACGTCATAAGCTAGATACGTCACCTTTTCCTGGTAAGGCAAACTTTCCCGGCGTGCTTTTTTAATGGATACACAAACACCACTGCTTTGCGCGTGTGTGTGTCTCTCTTACACATATCTATGTGTATAAAAGACAGATATATATATATATATATATATATATATATATATATATCTGTTACTGGTTTAGAAAATATGTTTCTTATTATGTTTGTGAATACATAACTTCATATTATAACTTTAGCTACATTAAGAAGTAAGCATTTATAATATTCTGCATGCATGTCTTCACATCTTTAACTCAACATAGTCTTTGTATCTAATTTATAAATTATTCCTTTCAATATTTTTAGATCACTGACCATGAGCAAATGCAATTTATCGGAAAATCACTGGAGAGAATTCCACAGAGAAAATTAAGAACCAAAATTAAGCAGCATGTACCAACCAATTCCACCAGACAAGGCAAAGAAGATAAAATTCTTCAAAAGTGGTGACAGTAATTTTGGTGGTTTACAGTTAGCTGTATCAAAACGCAAGTATCGGAGCTTTGATGGCCTGCTGAGTGATTTGACGACCAAAGTCCCGCTGCCGTACGGCGTACGGACTATTCACACGCCTGGCGGTATCCATGGAGTACACTCGTTGGAAGATTTTGAGGATGGCAAATCCTACGTTGTCTCATCTAGCCGTAAAAAAAAACCAATGGATTTGGGACGTGTCCATAAACCTAGGGCATGGCATAATTCACGCCTCATGTCACCTCAGGAATCCAGTATGAAGGGGAGTCCAACTAGCTCGCTCAGCCCTCGAAGCTCTCCAGACCGTGTGGATGGCAGGAAAGACCTGAGTCCATCTCGTTTGCCTCGGACTCCTAAGAAAATCATGGTGATGCGGAATGGGGATGTACATACAAAGCATATGATGCTTATGAACAGGAGGACTGCACAGTCATTTGAAGATGTTCTTGCTGATATTAGTGAGATATTTAGGACACCGGTGAAAAAGCTCTACTCTGCAGAAGGCATGAAGGTAAGCATTTTACAAACTAATAAACAGCGCCAGATCCAGGGATGCCTGCTCCGACACTAGCCAAAAATGAAATCTAACCAAGTATGAAATCACTAATAGATAAGAGATTAAAATGGCTAAAATTCTGAAGACCCTCACAGTAAGTAAGGGAACACCCCACTAAACCCTCCTATCTCAATCTTGGATTCTTGAATGCCACCTTCGATACCCCAGCAGGAGAATTTTGGATCTGTTAACTGATTGAAGATGTTCAAAATAGCTATCAATAATATTAAATTTATGAAAAACGCCCAAAGGATGTGTAGGCTTTTGTTGATTTAATCAGGTATTCCAGCCAAATTAAAGTCCGTCTCTAGAGGAAAACCTTTTTTGATATGTTGCAGAACTGACTTTCCTAAGACAGAAAAAATTTTTTTGAAGAAAAACTAGGGAATGGTGAGATACAGATGATGACCAATTTTATGCCTGCCAATGTTTTCCTAATAATTGAGGCTTGGCTTGCACTTTTCCTTCTGATTTATATATTTTACTGGAATGGTTAGGTAAACCATAAAAACAATATTACATTGTCTGTTAATTTGTAATTAAAATTGAAATTTAATACCTATACAGTGTAAACAGATCAAATATCCAATTTTCTTTGTCAGGTGTCTTGGCTCAGCACTGACAATAAAGAGCTAGGAAAATTATCATTGACAATATATATTTCAGTTATTTTAAGCATTCATTATGCCAGAGTATGCATTTACATTATCAGCTTAATTGAATTCAATTTTATTGTGCTTCATATGCCATTAAGGGCCATATCCGCTAGGAATTACTTTTTTGAATACACTATCAAAAAAAACCAAAAAAACATGATAAGTATGTACAGTATAAACATAAATAAATTTCTAACATTTTGTGGGCAGGGTTGAATGGTGAAGTAGGAATCCAAAAGTGAGCAATTCGCAAATTGTGGCCTGTGAAAAAATAATTGTTTGCGGCCTACAAACCATCTTTACGCAAAAAAACCCCTTCTTTTGTACGGCTCTACACTGATTATCTGTCAAAAATTAAAATTGAAACTGAGGATAAGTCTGTGTAAAAAGAAAGGTTTTTGGAAGCACGTTAGAAAAATCAAAGTTTGGGTGCGGCCTCAGTGTAAAATCAAAAAAATCCCTTTGGCCCTCCGAACTACATTAATATACCCACCCCTGATCTATACCAACATGTAAACCAACGGGAAAATTACACATGTTTACTGTACTTTCATGTAGGTTTTGTATACACACATGTTAATTAATGGACAGATACAATTACGGTGTATATACTTTATTGTGTACACTGAGTGTGTGCTGTGTAAATTGTGCTTATTAATCAATGGATTGGTAGTTCTGCAAAGCATATGACTGAAATTTACCTGAATAAATTAATCTAGTTTAGATCAATCCAGAAAGTAAACTACTGTACATGATATAACAAGACAGTTGATAAGTAGAGCTCTATGCGTATAATGATAACAAATATTTATACAGCGCCAATTCAAAAATTTATCAAAGGCGCTAGGTGAGGAAATAAAGCAAATTAACGTTCCAGTAATAGATAAGTTTTAAAGATTTTTCTTAAAAGAAAGCAAATTAGATGAATCGTGAACAAAAACAGGCAAGGAATTCTATGTGAAGGGGCTTGAAAAGAAAAGGCATGTTGACCATAAGTTTTTGATTTGCCTTTATGAGACGGAACTGTCAAGAGAATTTTAAATGAAGAACGAAGATGGCAGCGAGGAATATATTGGGAAAGGTACCAACTTATACCATATGTACCTTGTATATGTACCTTGAAATTACTGTATAATAAAAACCATAATTATGTTTGTAAAGCAAGGTCATTTAAACCTTGTTTCGCAAACTTATTGTTTTAAAGATCTTTAGAGGACGGAAATAATATAAAAATTAAATTTTGTTTTCTTATTTTAGCAAATGGTTTAGCCAAAAATATCCAGATGGATGAGAAAATAAAAATAAAATTTTATTGGGGAATGTAAACAGTGTAGTAATGGGATGGATAAATGTTGTACATATATATTAGGAAGAAATACATATCTTATTTTTGGAGATTTCAAGGCAGCGACAGGCGTAATTTAAATTTAAAAAAATCTTTTATTCTTCTCTGAAATTTCCATTTTTTCATGGCAGTTGGTGCACTAGTTGGCCAAAAGTAACATTTTATTTTCATTCAAAATCATCATTATTGGCAGGCAGTGGGTTTGGTATAAAAAAAAAATCTTGCCTTCTGATCAATCCAGAAAGTGAACTACCTGATATAACAAGAGAGTGGAACTCTGCATATGTACCTTGAAATTACGATATAATAACAACTATATTACGTTTGTAAGTATACATGTATACATACATATTTTATGGAAACTGTGTATGTAAAGTATTATATGTCCATAATATGTGTGTGCAGTATTGATATTACATTATCAACAGTGTGTGACTGGCATACAGAACGAGGGGACATGTTTCCCTTGGGGTGCTTGAATATTCGAGTGGCTTCACCAGGGAGTTGTTATAGTGACTATAACAACTCCCTGGCTTCACAAAACTCCCTGGGTTTTTTTTAAATAAAAGTATTAAAGAGAAATTGTAAAAGAAATTAAATTTTGTTAAAGGTCAAAGAATACTCCAAATGGGGTGAAATCAAACAATTGATACACTAACTGTACTTTCATATCACTGCTGCTTTGTGGTGATAATTTGCCTTTTAATCCCAGGGTTCTGGGTTAAAATTTTGTGATTCTAATATGAAAAAGATCTTAACTCCACTCCCCAAACCTCCTAAAACAAACTGTTTATTAAGTATTCTTCAAACTTATGATAGATGTGTTTACCTACTGTTACATAGTGAAAGAATTTTTTTAATAGAATAAAAAGTATACAGAAACAAATTTGTTTTAATTAATAATATTACATTGTATTTTGTCTGAAATTCACTTTTCAGTACAAGATTTTCTGATAAAAACTGAAAAATGCAATTGACAAAGAAGTAACAATAACTATTTAACTGTAATTGAATTTCAATGATAAAAACTAAACTACACTAAATGATGGCAACTCATTCAACATAAAACTAAACAAAAATTAACAAAGTATAGTAAAAAAATGATTATCACTTTTAAAAGGTTGATATTTTCATATTGTGGAGACTATTATTATTTATAAAAATGTATCATTTCATATAATTATATTACCATAATTATTAATTTTGATGCCTGTTTGCATCAGGAAAATATAAGAGTGATGTTTTGTCTTACCTGGCATGAATAATCAGTACATTCCCAATTACTTAACAAAAAAAAAGATAAATATTGCTGTTATTATTATCATCATCATTATTGTCATCATCATTATCAGTATGAAGCACATTGTTCAAGGATTGGCAATAGCAAACATAATCACTGTAATGTAAGTAGCAATCCCATCCCTTTCTCTGCATAAACCGTGGCGGTATATTATAAGGCTGAATGTAAGTCTCAATATGAGTGTGACGAAGTCCAGTAGTCCATCCAGAAGCAAACACAAGGATATACACATAGACAGTAGCGTAATGTTCTACATGCAATTTAATCTTCAGAAATATTGTAAAAATTTGTACAAAGTAAAGCCCAAGCCCATATAATTTCTTCTTATTTATCAACAGTCACTGAACCCTTTGGTCCCCACAATTGACATCAAGCCAAATCATAAATGACCAGTTCCAAAAACAAGGATCATCATTGATCGAATCAATGGAATTATAATCAAATAGGGCAATGTCATTGTCCTGTATGCCTGGCCAATGATTAGAAATAGCAAATTCATGAATAACCCATACTGAATAATGGGATAAATCCCATGCTACCTCACAATGAGGCTTAGTATGGAGTGGAAGAATCCTGTCATTTGTTGAACCTAGATCCTGTGATGGGAAGGCAAGCAACTTAACGACCAATATTATATCCATTCATTTGGAAACGTACTGACAATGTAATTCTACATAATCTATTTAGCAGTACTTAAAGAGAATTACACTTGATCATACACAATCTTATAAAGGCTGGTGCATTTTCTACATTGAGATGTCAAGGAAGGAAACACTTTACATTCCAAATTAATCCAGTCTATTCATTGTACATAAAAATTATGTATTGGGATTAACCTACTGTTATGTAGTCTGGTACGTAACAGTATACCTTGCTCTTAATACCTACGATAAATGATTACCTAGCAAAGATGTAAACTGTACGGAGTACATAATTTGTGTTGTACTGATGTACATCATCATTGTGTAAAACGGTGACATTTTTATTTAAAAGCTAAGATTATCTAATAAAGAAATATCAATAAAAGCCTCATGCTTCCTTTAAATTGGTTCATACTGTTACTTATGTTGTACTGTATTACTATACGTATTAAAACATAATATACCCATGCATATCTTATATTATTATAACGGTACGTGTCTATATAAAATTAATAATAAATAATGAGGTTGTAGATGCATCAGAACAGATGTGTTGTAATGTATATTCTGAACCCTTGAAGTGTATTAATCTTCGGCCAAGTAAAATGAGATGAGAATAAGCATGTCCCTGTTTTAACGAGTCTGCACTTAATCAAAATGGAAATTTATGCGACTAATGGAAGGCTGTTCCTGTAGGAGCATAATCTAGGGAAGGATTCAGTGCATTGGTCTATGATAACCCAATTAGTTGACATTAAATTAAACTTGATTAAAGTACCAGTATTTGTGTTTGTTAAAATAATTCGTATGTCCTTATTTTTCTTTGAATCTTATCTTTTATTTCTGGTTTATTTAAAATCATTATCACCATGATTGATTTTAGACAATGATTAGAGAAACAAAACACTTCATTGTCTTACAATATTTCTACTAATTGTTATTTTTTTTTATTTGCATATAATTTATTAGGGATCGTCAATTTTTCATCATCTTCATGGGAGACTTACGAACATATTTTTTTTCTCTGAACTCCTGGCTCTCCCAAAAATTGTTAATTTTATTTTCATATACTTTTGACTTCCTTCCCCTAGTGTACACTATGTTCTCATAAAAATGATGTAAAATATGGATGATCCCCCCTTAAGCATACCATATTTTAAACCATTATTTAACAGTGAATGCAGCACATTTCTGACTGTTTATTGATTATTGGTACATAAAATTCAGGGGTCCCAAGTCGGAAGATAATTAGCCATTTCCGGGAGATGCATTGTCCTTTCTTAACACAGGCAACTAATTTGATTTTGCTGTACATCGGGATATCCAGCGCCCTCAGATTTCAGGGAGGCAATGAATAATTGTATAACCATTCAAATATCATGAATTTGGAGATGTGTTGGTTTCTGGGAGATTTTTTGCTAGCTGGCAGTAGTGTGTGAGACCATCCCAATTTCTGAGAGACTTGAGTTGTGATTTGAATCCCCTTATAATTCAGTTTATTGTCTGATAGTACAGTAGTATATCATAGAGCCTTTTTTGTTTATAATTATAGGTTTATGTCTGAGAATTACCTGATGACATCTAGGTTTATTGGTTTTGAATTTTTGTTTATCATATCCTACCAATCGTTTGGGTCCATTATTTATGATTTGAGTTAAAACAAATGTAAAGATGAGTGTAGAAGACTAGAAAAACTGATTTTAATTTTTTGAACAATAATACGTTTATATTGTAAATATTTATATCTTAGTATATGCAAAATTGAAAAGGCTGTGAACTCCATAAAATTACCCCAGTCACTGGATCAAATATCAAAAAACACATACAGGGTTTGTGAAGAGCAAGTTGGCATTTAAGCCCACAGTAGCAATAACATTAACATTTATCATATCACATCATTCATTTTGTCTTTGATGTAGGATAAGTATATTTAGATATGATCATCCTTGATTTATGTATTAATTAAAATTATTTGAACCCACAATTTTGAGAAGAACATATACTGATGTTAAAGTTTTAATTTTTATATTTACAGATTGAAAGTCTTTCTGGAATGTTTAATGGTCCAGAGTTGTTTGTTGCTGCCAAGGCCAATGAAAAATTCAAGTTGCAAAATTACATTGACAACTCACCATTTAAATATGGCCGCCCTCGCAATAAATTACGCCGTAAATCGGAAGATTTTTCTGACCAGCCTCCAGCGAAGGTTATTAAGAAAAGTCGTAAGTGGAGATCGATTATTAGAGCTTCTGCCTTGTGATTAAATATAATTTTCATTGTAACATCTTTATCAGATATAATCGCCTTGAGTATTGCTTTAAAATGGATATGAGCATGAGGGCTATACAAATCTTGTTATATATTATTCGATTGCCATCTAATTCTTGAATCAAACAATGTTAATGGCAAATGTTCATAATGCTATACACAGTAACACTTTGTGAAGCCTCATCTATTGTGAAAATTTAATTAAAAAAGTGATCTCAAAAACTGTGCTATTTCATCTTTTTCCTACATCTTTAAGGTGGAAAGTGGAAAGTGTTGGTTTGTACAAATGACAACCCAGCAGCATCAACCGATGCTGTTGTATCCATCACTGTTTATGGTGATAAAGGTAAAACAGATGATATAGAATTGGGATCAGGTGAAAACAAGTTTGAGGCAGGTAGCATCGATGAATTCAATGTAAGTTTGTGTAGCCATATTTAAGCTCTATTCAATTTTCTTTTTACAAAAAACTGGTGTATGCTCATATATAGTCATGATGTACCTATATATGGTCATGATGTGATGGCATCATGACCATGTTTTCGTCAAACAAAATTTGAGTGTGGACAGGGCACTACATTGGATTAATGTTAGTCAAATTAACCATGTACCTGGTCATTTTGACCAAAACAAAATACAGTGCAGACAACCTGCATAATATTCGCATGACAAGTGTAGCCGAGTGATCATCGACCAGGAAGAATAAACGAGCTAATTTTTTTTGAGCGGAAAAATCCAATGCCAGCATCGCAACTTAGTTAATTGCTAAAGTTTTCACAGGATTATGTAAAAAAAAAATTCGAAAGTTTAATGTGAATGCGCAGCTCTAGTCCTCCAAACCAACGTAAAGCTTTAGTGCCTTTGCAATTTGCATTGTGTAGCTAAGGTATTTTGACACTATTGACTAGGTAAAGTCTTTTGAAGGAGATCTACCCATTAACATGATTGTGTCTGCATCCTCTGATCAAACAACTTTAAGCTAAAGCTTATAAAAAGTCCATTCTTTAGGAGAGTGAATTACAATGTAATTGCACAAAAAAAAAATGTTGCTATGGTTATGAATTGCTAGTACTTCATATGTTGAAATATCCTCATTGCCCTACAGACGTCCTTGTGCAGTATTTCTTTATGTTAGCCTATTATTAGTAGCCTATTATAAAGATAACATAATTGATGACTTCATTAAATGTTACATTATGATACTAAGTTAATTTTCTCATAACTTTATTGGATAACAGAAAAAAATGGCTGCATTAGCTATATTAACAAGATAATTATAAATATAGATGTTACAAAAATGCAGACATTTTTTTTAAAGCCTGAAAATAACCAGTATCATAAGAATTTAAAACATGATTTAAAAGTAACTATCATAGAACATGCATGGTATTAAAGGAAGTAATATTATCAGAAAGCTGACCTTGGCCCCAGGGCAGCATAGCTTCTAGACCCCTAAGGTGAAGGTCTGGATCTGTGGGTAAAGCCTACAGTGGGATCAAAGGACTTGGAGCCCCGGTGGGGAAAAGCTTTTAAATCTACAGCCTTGGTATTTAGATATGTAATTTAAAAGATTACAGACATAATTAATAAGATTAGATCTTGGGAGAAATGCATTGTTTTTGTCCTGGGCACCCGGAGGGGCTCAGGTCCCCGTGGCACTAACCCCCCCCCTAGATGTGTATCTTGGCGCTAGTAAATACAGTAGATCAACCTCATTAGAATTTATTCAGCATTAGGATAACATACAGTGTCTGGCGAAAAGGAATTATATAACAATTTATTATTTGTTTTCATAATAAATCTTTTTCAAAATTCAAATGTTTTGACCCTTACTTTGACCTTTGCGTATGTCTCAATCATCGGGATAATAGTGTATTGTTAATTACAGTAGCTTCTATGAGTGAATCAGAGGAGGTGTTGCATTCAAGCTAGTCTCATCAACCTTCTTCTCAGTCCTTACTTACCATTATTGGCAAAATCAGAGTAATTTATTCATCAATCACATTGAATGTCAGTGTGTAATGTGATGACACTGTGTTTATATGATACTGCAGCACTGTACTGCACTTCATTATACTTTCATATTTATTGGAAACACTCTCCAAAATATATTGAAATTTAATCATTGTATAGCTTACATAATTTGATTTCAGAAATTGAATTAAATATCATGTCAAAATATGTTCATTCTTGTAATGTTTAATGAACTGTATTTCGTATCCTCCTGAAATTGATCTGATCATCTAAAATTAATAATTAAATTGTTACGATTTTACAGCTTTAGGTTGGTAACATTAAATATATCAACAGTGGTATAATTAGTAAAGACGATAGTGCTAAATTTTAATTTTTTATATCATGTACTATCACTAATTCAGTTCTTAAAATTGTACAAGTTTAGTAAAATTGGAAAGATGCAGGTTTCCTAATCAAGATGTTAAAATCATATTGATTGAAGTTGGTAATATTGGACACATCTAGGTATCAGATTTATTCATGATAGTATAAAATTTTAAAAAAAATATATTCCATGTAGTGTAGCGCTAATTAGAGAGAGTCTACAGCGGAGTGTCAATTTTCCAAGATGACTTACAAAACTTGAAATATATCTCAAATGTAGTGAAGTGTTTGGTTTCCCAACCTTGTGGTCAGTGATTCAATCCCTGAATGTGAATTTTGCTTGTGTTCTTGAGCGAAGCACATTACTGCATTTACTTCTGTCCATCCAGGAGTATAAATGGGTAGCTGGTGGGGTTGCTGCTTCTGAGCTGATTACACTTAATTATTTGAACCCAGTGACCTAAGAAAAAGTGCCTTGTTTCTTTAAAGAAAGGCATTGTATACATAAATTAATAATAGAAAAAAATGTATTACCCATTAAATTTTTAAAAATGTTTACAGATTCAAGTTGGTAACATTGGCGACATCTACAAGATCAGAATTAGTCAAGATGACAGTACAGAATTTGCTGGGTGGCTCTGTGATGAGGTGAGTATACATTGTTCTTTTCTATGATGTACCTACATTTGTTGGTATTTATAAAATTTTATATTAGCCAAAACATCCGAACATGAGCATCACGATCATCTTCAGGTTATTGCAGTTTATGAGAGAAGAGATATTGAAAAACAAACCTGCCAAACTTCAGTTATAAAACCTAACCAATAAGTATGGTATAAAGAAAACCCCAAATTTATGCCCAATTTTACGTACCATCCTTTCCTCGGGCAAAAGTCCAGGGTATGATTTGAATAGGTATTTCAACTTTAAAAAATAAACAAAAAAAATTGGTTTAGAATTAGACATACAGTGCTTTTTATTGGTCATCCCTTAAAATTAGGGAGTTTGGCAAGCTTACAAAAAGGATAACAAATGTGGTTACATCGTCAAATGTTTATACAACCCAAGATCTTGTGTTAAATTTTGAAATGTAATGGCATGACCAACAGATCAATATTTATTTCAAACATTATTCTTAGTTATTTAAGAATAACAAATGCAATTAGGTTAATTGTGAGCAAACATGTTAACAGCGCCATGGAATCAAATATCACCTACTTGTTATATTAGCTCTCTTATTATGTAACTCCACTTGTTAGCAATATTTGAAAGATAATAAAGAATTCTTTCTAATCTTCCATCAATCCTTTTATTAACTTGCTACATTGATCTTGTGTTGAATTTGGAAATGTAATGGCATAACCTACAGATCAATATTTATTTCAAATGTGATTGTTTTTTTTTTTTAAGAATAACAAATGAAATTAGATTAATTGTTGGTAGTAAGTAACAAATGTTTTTTCTGAAGGCTACACTGCAGGTCTCAAATTTCCTTACATGGCTACATAAAAATTTCAGTCAGTCTCATAGTCTATCTATTGCACTTACTAATTACTGATGTAAAGAATAATAATGATACTGTTGTTACAACTGCCTGAGGTTGTGAAATGGACATCAAATGTTTTGTAACACTCTTGTCATTAATAATCTGCAACATATTTTTATATAGTAGGCAGCTAAGGATTTTATTAAATTAATGATATTTGTGTTGTTAAATAATATAGTAAATATAATAATTTCTATGCCAAACGTTGTAAACTAAGGGTCTATAGTTGAAAAAACGTTAAATAAAAAAGTTGTGATTATAAAATGGATATTGATAAAATGGATTATAATACACAGCACTATAAAACACTAGTATTTAAGAAAGAGAATGGCATGTGTAGCAAAGACAAGCCAAACCAGTCGCTCGTCGCAAATCGTGTTTCACAGATAAGGGCGAAAACATGCTGAAATGTCAAAATTGTTGTAATCTATTTTATTGCAGTAAACTAAACTTTATATATCTATACATCATGGTATGCTGTTATTTTCCCCATTTTCAACGTTAAAACAAAAATTTTTTACAATTCGGTGATGGTTTCTGCCTTAGAAATGCCCAAAATCATAAATTTTGAAGGCTGATTTCTCAATATTGTTATTAAACAGCTGTATGTTTATCATAAGGAAATATCAGATTCAAATGATTCTTTTACCATTTTATAGCTCTCATTTTCATCTTTAACTGTGGATTATAACTAAAAATTGATTTTTGCGACGAGTGACTGGTTTGGCTTGTCTTTGCCACATGAAATTTGATTTTTAAAAATATTTTTATTGTTAATTTAGTTTGAAACTGAATGGTAATAGTATCTAGATTTGAATACATATTTTATTTAACTTTAGCACACTTTTTTTTTTGAGATTAGAGTTTAGACCGTAATTTCAAATTCAAAACAGAGAGCAAAGTTAATTAGTTAGACTCATCTAATAATAGTATTCATCACCAGAACTCGTAATTTCATTGTTTCTCAAGGTTCATATGGAAGATGTACAAACAGGAGAATTGATGGTGTTTCCATGTCGACGATGGATGTCAAGGGAAGAAGAAGACACTGCAATCTGCCGAGAGCTACCAGTGATGAAGGATGGCCAACCTCTTTTTCCAGGTGTGATATTATCTCTTTATTGAACTTTGACTGCCATCTTCATGCATTTGAGTTAGGGGGTCGTTCACAATTATCAACATTTTCAAAAGTGTACAAACAGTATGCTGGGGGGGAGGGTGTAGACAAATTTGTACACTTTTACATGCATTGGAATGTTGATTCAAAATGACATGATATATTTAAAATAATAGATTGTTAAGACAAATTATAATACTATGAATGTAATATACATTTTTTCACAAAAAAATGGAAAAAGGTTTTGCAAAATCAACATTTTTAATGTACACCTTTAGAGGGGAAGGAGGCGGTACCGAAAAAGAGTCACTGTTTACACACTGGCGAAAATGTTTGATAGTTGTGAAAGAACGGACCCCTTACCTAGTGTATCAATAAATGTATTTCCATAGAAAAAATTATGCTTGCATTATGTAAATTAAATTTCAGCCAGCACCTCAATCACTAGCCTAGTTTTGCAAAGACTTAACGATTACATTTATAACATACATACTTCCTGCATTTCATTTCATTAGACAGTTGGGTGTGACATTGTGATATATATACAGTGTATAATACTGTATTGTGCTATAATTTTACTTGATGTTTATCTGAAGATGTAAAATTGAACTGTTTCACCTTGTGTGTTAGATACATTTGGCAATAGATTATATACTTACTATTATTTCAATCAATATTCCTACGGTAAACTGTCTCTTTTAATTGAAAAGGCTGCTGGCAGATACATGTATTCTCGTAGCATGCAAATCTCCCATCTTATTACCATACAATACAATCAATCTTTATATGAATTTCAAGAAATGATTTACTTTAATTGTTGGAATAATTAAAAACAAAATATTCATATTTTTGGGCCACAGATATTATAATCTCAAAAATACAATAAGTATGGTATTAAAAGTATTGATTGTAGAATTCTTAATTTTAAAACCAACTAACAAATATATACGTACTGCTATGTTTCGTTCCATATCTGTGGATCTTTATCAGGTAATGATGAAAAAGTATTTAAATGATAAAAAGTATAGATTAATAAGGTATAAAAAAGTATTGAATTGCAACAGTTCTTTGTGGATATAACTTTGGAATATATGGATACAATATTTGTCATGAACAAAGAGAATAATGTTAGTCATGTGTTTAAACATTTTTTAAGCTTTTGTTTTACATTTTTTTTACCAAAGAGTACATCCCGTTGTAGTGAGCATTTCCTTACTGTATTTTTATTTTCCTATTTTATATATTTAAAAGAAATCTTAGTATAATATTTGTTTTGTATTTAGTTGTGGTATATGAAGTCAATGTGGTTACTGGTAACTATTGGAATGCTGGTACTGAAGCTAACGTCTACCTTACAATTATTGGTGACCATGGTGACACGGGACACAGACAGCTGTACAAGTCGCATAACAAAAAGAAATTTGAAAAGGGAAAGGTAAGAGATAATTATTAAGAATAATATGTTATGAGACAACCAATGTATTGAGTAGAAATAGGATAAGAACTAAAGAACCAATTTACTAGAAAACTTGACTACTTTAAGGATGTGGGAAGCAGATTGGCTCAGTGGAAACAGTTTAGTTTTTCGAACCTCGAGGTTGAGAATTTTATCTCTCGCTGTGTATTTCGCTTGTGTCGCTGAGCAAGGCATTTTACATGCATTGCTTCCCTCCACCATCTCCTTGTCTCCACTTCAGGTTATAAATGGATACCTGGTGGGGTTGCCTCCTCCTCTACTTGTTACAGCAGCAACGGTTAACCATGTGGATCCAGTGATTTGGAAAAAAATAAACGCTTCGTATCTGAAATGAAAAGCGCTATATAAATATGATATCAAATTGCTTTTTTCAGAATGTCAATAACTCTTTAGTCAATACTATATTCAAATTTATATAGTTTTAAAAACTGAAACTTGTGCTTCTACACTACATTGTTATTCCAATTGATTAAATCCTCCATGGGCTTCCAATATATAAGTGTTTAAATTTTAGCATTCTTCTTCTCATAGTTTCTTGTACAGCCATACTCCATTTCACTTCTCTTTAATCATAATATAGTAAATGACCTTATATAACAAAATGTCAAACGATTTTTCTGCCCATTATTGTTTTTCAAGGTTGTGCATTTTAGCACTGGATTTATTTTTCATCTGCTATGACTTCTCTCTATATCAGTTAAAACTTCAATATAAAATGCCAGTGGAACAAATATTGTATTGTATTCATCTTCCTGATGATGATCTAATAAAAAATCGAAATATTGAATCACAATGACAAGTCTTACTTTATTTGGATTATCCATGGTTATACCTTATTTTTTCTGTACTTGTAATTGTACTGTATTAATGTAATGCAGTTATATAGTGCTTTAGACTGAAATATTCTCAAGGCGTTCAAGGACTTTTACAGTATAAATTTAGTTTATATATTTTTTTTGTTCTGACATGTTTATTTTTGTTCTTCTCATCGATATTATTGGAGCTCATATTTCTCTATTGGTTGTCATTGGTTATATGGATATTTTAGAAATCTATTTTATGTGCATTGATATAAACACGGTAAAATCGTATATAATGGCCTATAACTTAATAACCAATTATCAAAAAACGATTTTAAGGTTGGTTCTATTATTAATGGCATATCAAAAATCTCATGTAGGACAAAAAATCATTTTGCTAGTTCTCTTTTAAGAAGGTAAGGTCTCAGTACTTCAAATGTCAAAGAAGACTATTAAAGTCTTTGTGACATAAGTGTCTCTTTATTTGCAATAATATTGCAAGTTTCTATAGCCCTTTCCAGATTATCACATTTTCTTTGACAAAACACTGGTGTAGGGCCTGTCTCTTATACACATCTAGATGTGTATAAGAGACAGTAGAACAGATATTTGAATTTTAAGCTGTATTTGAATTCTACTAGGGCATCCCCTCATGGTAGTGTTATTTGTTTCATTGCAATACTCTTTGGTTTAATTTTTTTTTTTTTGCTGGATTTTAACTTTCAACCTTTGAAAAGGATGTCTATGAACAATACATTTTTTTTATGATTTAACTTTTTGATTACGTAATTTATAAATTCTATTTTAGCTGGCTTGATGGAGGCATGGGAGATGGAAAAGTTGTTCGCGAGCTAGTAGCCGACAGCAGCAAGCCACCAAACTGTAAGATTCCAATTCATTAAAACCAAAATGCACTTGCCTGGTCATTATATTTCATGCATTTAATTATCAATTCATTCATCATATGAAACAATTTTGTTTATCAATACTGTACATATAATTTATACTACATTATTTATTTATTTATTTATTCAACAATCATTTGAGAGGGTCTTCAGCTGGAAAAAGGGTAGTTAGGTCCCTTTTCACCTGTTTTTAAATATTGAAAAATCTGTATCTCATTAACAGTTCCCAAGTTTTTTGTCAAACACCGAATTAGAAAAATTAGTTGTACAACATATCAATTTTTTGCCTCCGGAGCCTGGCTTTCAACTAATATCTGTTTAAATGTAGACACATTAGTTGCATTTTGCACTGTTCCTTATATACACTTGTTTGCAGATTGGTTAACAACTTTAATATTATTAGTTAAATTTAGGATTAGTAGTCACACCATTATGCACTACACCAAGTTATATGTTTTATAGAAGGTACTTGTCACTGTAGTCACTAACTATTTAATTGCATCCATTATGTTAATGCCCAGTTAATGCATTACACATTTCATAATGTTTTAAGCATAAGTAGTTATGCACTGGCCTTCTACTCTTTGCTGTCAGGGTTATTGGTTATATATGTGATGTTCTTAATGAAAAAAGTCATAAGGCATGCTGACTAAAGATGAGACCGTAAGCATGCCGGTGACTATATGAGCTTATTATTACGAAAGTCTTCCAATAATATTACTCTTTAATTTACCCAGGAATTTAGTTATGATGATGTATTGATACAAATAGTATCAATGTCACTCCAAAAATTGACAAGGCCATTTTATTCAATGTTTTGCTTTTATTTAAGCATCATCAGGAATAATACATATAATACAAAGATACAAACTATAACAGTATTATATAGTTTGTATCTTTGTATTATATGTATTATTCCTAATGCTGCTTAATAAAAGCGAAATGTTGAATAAAACGTCCTTGTTAATTGTTTTAATTAATGTTAATTCTATTTGTACTTAAACTCAGTGCAGCATCCTAATGTATTGTTACCTTGGAGATCATCTACCATTTTATGTTACTAGGGAAACCATTCATGATTTTATGCCAATTTATAATTTATACCACTGTATGACATGAGAGATAATCTATTTTCATATACATTATTTTGGCATTATTCTATTTTTCAATTTTATTAGCTAAACATGGACAGTGTAACTTTAATCATGGAGGAATTAGTTTAGATAATTACTCCATGCTTCAATAAACACATTTGCAATTATGTTGAGCAAACTACATATATTTATTCGTTAATATTCAAATATCAATGTACGGTATATATTTCAGGGTGCTTGCAATTTTTGGCTTTAAGATTTTTCATTAATAAGCAAATGTATTACTGTTTGGTATAAGCATGCACCCTCCCCCTTGTACACAAAATTTAATAGATTTTGGAGGGTGGGCTAGCTGGGAACTCCCTTTATCACATTGCATGCCTAATTCAAGCCAGCTGTCTTTGAGTTTTTACAAAAGTCAGCCTAATTACTCCTTAAAATGGTACCCTGGGCTTTTGCCCAAGGAAAACCTGGTACATAGAATTGGATGTAAAATAGGGATGGCTTGCTACCTGAGATGGGCTTCCATGGAACTACGGTAATAATTTTTAGCCTAATACTTGAAAATAGAAGACTAATCTTTTGCAGCTGCATGTTTCATGTTTCATTTTTTCACCATTTACCTGGGAGATTGCTAACCATTTGCCTGTTTTGTTCACCATCTGCTTACAGTGGAAAAAGAAATGGTAAGCCTATTAACACATACATTTGCTATAAATATTCATACATTATATCAAACTAGGCTAATTTATTCATAACCATTCATTATATAATAAATTTACACTGCCTATGTATGTAATTCATGTAACTTTCTAATAGTTTTGTTATGTTATGTCTGTAAAAATGGTTTTATTTCACGATTATCTAGTTTGTATAATGATTTTGTTACAAAATGTCCTGAAGTTTATATCTTTTCTAATTATTTAAATATATTTAAATGTCAATTTAATAATCATATTTCTCATTAGTGTTGTGTGTTTTAAGTGTAACTTGTAAATATTTTAAGTGTTATTTAAACGTTAATTATAATTTCAAATAATTTAAAGTAATTTACATATTTATAGTAACTATAGCAATATTGATTATAATTATAGAAATAATAATAATAATATTTTTATATCTTGTGATTTTATAGTTTTGATTATATTTTTGATGTTTATTACAATTTTCGCCTGTAAGTGGGAACTAAGAGTTCCTGTTGGACGATTGTTAATAAAGCAAAAATAAATAAATAATTGGATAAAAGTTGCAAGCCTTACATTAAAAGGGAACTAGCAAACTGATTTTTAGTTCTAGAGGGGAATTTTGATATGCCATTAATAATATAATCAACCTTAAAATCGCTTTTTGGCAATTTCTTTTGGAGTTATAGGCCATTGAAAACAATTTAATCCTGACGTCACTGGCGAAAAAGGTAACAAAAGATCGTGTAAATAAAACCGTGTAGGGTATCCGCCGCGTATGATCTTTGCATGCATGCTGTAACCATAGCTGTAATTCTTCTGTTGACAACCGCTGATGCAGTTATAGGCCTATGACTTGATATGCAAGTTACAACAACCATGGTTACAGCATGCACGCAAAGATCGCACGCGGCAGATACCCTACGCGGCGCTATTTACACGATCTTTTGTTACTTTTTTCGCCAGTGACGTCACAGTAAAATCGTATATAATGACCTATAACTTAATAACCAATTAACAAAAAAACGATTTTAAGGTTGGGTCTATTATTAATGGCATATCAAAAATCTCATGTAGGACAAAAAATCATTTTGCTAGTTCTCTTTTAAGAAGGTAAGGTCTCAGTACTTCAAATGTCAAAGAAGACTATTAAAGTCTTTGTGACATAAGTGTCTCTTTATTTGCAATAATATTGCAAGTTTCTATAGCCCTTTCCAGATTATCACATTTTCTTTGACAAAACACTGGTGTAGGGCTATGCCCATATATAGTCATGATGTGCCTATATA